ACTGACGGTAAATAGCAATATTCTTAAATTAAATATTACAGTACAGTATTATTAAATATAAAAGAAATTATCAAATTTAAAATTAACAAATTACTAAATATAGTAATTATTACTATATTTAGTAATTTAATAAATATTTATTAAAACATTTTAAAAATTTTACAATATATATAATTTGTTATGCTGAACAAATTTTACTGAATTGTTTAGTTTACTTAATAAAAAATTGAGGTTTATATATATTAAAAATTAGTATTCAAGTTTATATTAAATCTACATTAAAAACTAGTAAATCGTACATATTTAAAAATCTAAAATTTTACTTAAATTTAATTATCTTAAAAAGTACTATATAGAATTTTATAATCTTTTTTTTTATTTAAAATACATAGATTTAATAAACTTATAATTTTATTTTTAGTTTAATAACTTACTTATTTAGCTTTATACAAATTTTAAAAAGTGTCCACAATAATATGCTACCCTCTGTAATATATGTAGTCAATTATATTAAAAATTGATACGTTACATCTAATCTAATACAGTCATAAAAGTACATATGTCGTGCCTCAGATTAACGCTTGCCTCAGATTAAAACCGGCCTAAATTAGCATTAGAGTTAGGGTGAGGATGAAGGTATAATTTAGGCTAATTATTGTCGATCAGTTAATGCTGGTCAAACAATCAACATCTGAGGTGCGTCAGCTGCAATCTGAGGAAGAGTTAATCTGAGACACATCTAAATTCATGTCCGCTGTTCATTTTAAAATAAACTAAAAAAATTATTATAAATGGAAGTCAAGACCATATTTTCAGGCATTGTCCCGAAAATAAATGCAGAAAATGCCATGAAATGGGCACATTGAAATAGATTGCGGGAAAAAAATATACTTGTAGATACAGCAAGGAAGAAATTGAAAAGCGACGGCTATATAATTATAGTATAATGAGGACTAGCCACTGTTATAAATGTAAAGTTCACAGAAGCCATGGGAACTAAGAAAATTAAATAGAATTAAAACGTGCAAAATATCCCTTAATTATCTATCCCTTAATTACTAAAATGTAAGATTTTCATTTCTAATTAGAAATTATTAACAGTTAAAAACTATTGAATTGCTTAATGTTAAAGCCGTAAGATCATATGATTTTGCGGTCCCATGGGACCGTGAAATCATGTTACGAATAGGGACGTTTTGGTCCGGTCCGAAAGATTTTTTAGGAACTGGTCATATTTTGTATCTAAAACCCTGGCTGAGAAAGCCACCACGTCCTACCCAATACAATCAATAACTTTCATTATTATTGAAAAGGTGTGAACTTAAAATTAGTAGAGATCAAATCAAATAGCTTTTATTTACAGCGCAATAAAGATTATTCCAATGTACAAGAGTAAAAGTAAAAGTCAAAAATAGATCTAAAAAATATCTTTAATAGCGTCAATTATCCTTTATATATGTTTTTCTATTAACCTAAAATTAGTAAGAAAAGCAATTATGTATAAAAATCTATTACGAAAGATTTCGTAACGATTAACGCTTTTGTGAATATTTATTGCATGTTTGGTTAATGGATTAAGTTTTATTACTATCGTAGGCAATTACAGTACTTCAAAAATTTATTGATTGCAGAATGCATTTTTAGATTGCATATAAAGTAGAACTTAAATATTTAAAGCGCTGCTTTAAATACCTAAAGTAGCTAATTCAGATATTTTTTTATGATATCTAAGCAGCCACTTTAAAGTGGCTACTTCAAATATTTAATTTGCAATTTAGATATACTTTTTGATATTCTATATAATGTTTATTAAAACTTTAATGAAGATTTTTCAAAACACCTATCTATCCAAATTCGATAAATTTTTTTTATTCTGATTCTACAAATGCAAGTAGTTACCGAGAAATCTTAAAAATTGAGAAGTGAACTACAACGTATGAACTCGAAATAGCGCCCACCTGTGCGTTATTTCGAGTATGCTTATGTGCGTTATTTCGAACCGTCTAACAAAAGCTGTTCATATTAAGACGAAAGTAGGGTTACTTAGTATCAAACCGCTTGTTTATTTACAGTTTATGTTGAGATTCGAGAAGCTCATGGGCGTTAATTTGAGACCACATGTGATATTTCAGAAGCTTTAATCTCTGATAAAAATCCTCAGGATATCAAAGTTATCGACTTGGATGTCAAATCGAGTGATTCTCTTCAAGATACAGTTGACTTAGTTTTTTTGAAAGTTGATTACAAATCGCGATACTGACCAATCATATTTTTTTGTATTTTTTTACGAAAAAGGATAATTGATAAACATCGTGATACTGACCAATCATATATTTTTATATTTTTACAAAAATGGATAATTGATAAACCAAACGCGTTATTAATGAATAATTGCTATTATTATAATCTTGATATGAAATACATATGTAAATATTATGAGAAAACGAAAAAAGCATTGATTTATCATTAACAATAGGAAATAAATAAATGAATTAGATTGATTAGTAAATCGATTGACACACCCAGACTAAAAAAATGACGAATGATTTTGTTGAGCTTATTAAAAAAATTGAAAAGAAAGAACCAACAGATAATAATGATTATTATAAGCTATCTAATGAAAGCTTAAAGGAATTAGAAGAGTCATTGAAGATTATGCCATTAGAACTTTTATAATTAAATTGTTTTCTGTTCCCAATATTTTCTTACTGAGTTCTATATGTACAGTACTACCTGCTTTTTTTACTTAATTCATAAATTTATTATTATAAAATCTATTTTATTAACTATGCATATTAGTAGAAAATATTATTTTTTATAAATTGTTATAAAAGGTCAAATTCATTAAGAAATTATCATCATCATACTAAATACTACTCACTTTTTCAGATCTTTTAATATACAATTTTATTGTAATATACTCTTTGTAAAAATTTTTAAATGTAGCTCAAAATCTATTTGTGTGGTGGAGATTGTGCATACACAGATTCGCAATATCTTAAAACCAATCTTAAAAACCAATACAGATCTAGAAGAAATAAACCCGATATCTATAGTCTTGGAGTGCCTTTCTGGAAATGTCAAACGATACGTAATGCCCTCGGGTTGGTGAAACCATGTTATATTATTGGATCAAATGATGCGTAATACCCTAGGGTTTGTAAAACTATACTATATTATTGAATTCAATAGGACCGTATTTTAAAAAGAATCTTATGATTTATCGGGTGTAGAATTAAAAAGATATTAAATTTCACTAATAATAGTCATATTCAATTTTAAAATGGGAAAAATTTCAGTACTACACTTTCTATTTATGTTAATCAGACATATTTTAATAAAAATAGATTTTCCTTTATGAATATAACAAATTTTTTCATTTCCCTTCTGATTATTGTGTTAAAGATGATGCCCCGAACTACTCGTAATGTAACAATCAAGGCTCTTCAAGATGAAAATGAAAGGTATAGAGGATTTGTTATATATATGGACATATTCTTTTAATATACAATGGCTCTACATAAAATTATAGACTAAAGAAGAAAATTTCAAAATTGACAACTGCGTTAGAGCAAGCAAATTTAGAACTTTTCAAACTTCGATCTGACATAGAGGTAAGAACAAAATTTGTCTCAAGTTTTTATATAATTTTAGTAAATATTTTTTTTAGACAAAGCACAAAAATCGAATGTCTTCACAAAAATCGACATCTTAAAGGCAATGTTAATTATTAAATCATGTTAAAGTATTTAATCACATTTTAAAGATTAAATTAATATTGCTAAGTTTGTAAATATTCTGAAAAGAAAAGATTTAATGATAAATTTATTACTAACCTGGTTTCTATATTGTTAAGGTAAATGAATAATTTTAAAAAAATTCAATAAAAGTTTGGATTTGTGATCAATGTGATTCAAATATGTGAATGTGTTTTAGTATAGAGTTTTCCTAGTTGATGTTTGATATGCAAGCATTATTAAATTTTATATAATAAATTACAAGTACAAAAAAGCAAATTTAAAGTTAGAAAGATTATTAAAATAGTTCTTGAGAAATAAGTAAAAGGGCTATCACATAAATCTCATTTTTATTGAGGTCGTACTGGCTTCCTGCACTCTTATTAGATTCAGTATAATGTAATATCCTTGTCCTCAGATTATAATTTTCATTGTATTTTATGTCTTCACTTGCCTTCCATACATATGCTCGAGTTTACAGAACCAATGGTCGGATCCTAAGTTGTACATATTATGCCTTGGTTTTTCTTTTTGAACTTACTAGTGACCCTTTATAGCTGTTAAAATTCAAATATCATCGAATTAAGAATTTACTTGTCCATTAT